AAAATGTCCCTTCCAAAACTTGTATATTGTGTGCTAATGGAATAGACTCACTGGAATATTAACAACCTTGTACCCTTATAAGAAGCTCTTGGCATTTCCTGTTGGATTAATTTTTTTTTAAAGTCTCTGATATTTGCTGTTTAACAGATTTAAAATGGTTTTTTTGTTGGTAAAATGGCAAACCAGCCCACTCTATACAAAGCTGATACATAACCATAACAGAAAGGTGAATAATACCTAAAGATCCCACAGGAAATCTGTCCTGTTGCTGCTTGGTGTTTCCATGTCTAGGAATGTGTTCAGAAATTACATTAAACACCAAGTGGTGTTTTTTCACTGATCACTTGTAGAAATGATACAGAACTTAAAAGACCCACAGAAAAATACTATACCAGAGAAAAGTAGCCTTTCTTATGAAAATGATGAATTGTATTTCCTTAAACCACAAAGCAGGTCAAACTCTCACTTCTTGTAAATCACTGTTGCTGCGTTTGGAATGTGCAGAGCTTTGCCTGTGTGTGTGAACTAAGGGTCTGTCTCAGTGGATTTTGATCCCTCCTGAGAATCTGGCTCCACCTAATATGAAGACAATTTCCCTTTTTCTGTTGCTTAACAGGTAAAGATCAGAGTTGATAGAAAGTTTTTCCCTTGAGAGCAGGACCTTGTAAATTTCTTGCACATCTTTTTACAAAATGGGCACAAATCAACAAAGTTTTTCACCTAATCTTGTTCTCAGGTAATAGTTAGTGATATGCTTTCTCAGAACAAAATCCTTTAAACTCACAATATGCCTTACACTTACCTGTCTGCTCGTATGATTCAGGGGTTGTGAAGTTGGGAGGTTTTTTCTTTCTTTTGAAGGTGGGTACTGTACAATCATCTTGTGTACTTATCTTCTGAGCATCTGCTTAGAAAATAAAACAACATGCCATTTTGACATCCAAGAAAGTGCTATAAAAAGTCTGTTGCTATGTTTAAATGCCTACACTCAGTTGCTATAGCAATAAAAATATAAAAAATGATGTACAACTTGCCATAGTGCATTACCAGCCCTTTCTGGGACAGGGAGATTGTGGGACTGAGAATATGACAAAGATGCTCAGTGTATTAGAGGGCGGAGTTACAATGTAGTTCCAGGTCCCCTGTGCTGTTATCTGTGAGCAAAATGTAGCCTAACTGTATAAATCCCAAAGTGGCTGTGTCAAAAGGGACAGTTGGATCCCTACTTAATTCAGTTGCTTCTTCATGACTTGTGTGACAGAGTTCAATACTTTGATCAACTTCCCATTTCTCTGCAAGAGAAGTTGCTGAAAATGTTGACCTTTCTCTAAATTCCTCCAGTCCCATGGTATCAAGTGTGAAAATCGGTATACAGAGTGCATCGGACTGTGTAGATTTGCTCTCTGTAACATTACAATAGTCAGTCTGAAATGCCCTTGCTCCTGGGGCAGCTATGGGAACCCTGCTATCAAAAAGAAAAGAAATGAAATAGTAGCTAATGGAATCCTTAGCATCTCTCTCGGGCTCAAAGCCTTGACCATTCAGTTGCTTCATGAAGAGAGCAGGAAATTCAACTTCCTTCATTAAACAGAGCAAGTAAAGGAAGGCATGTTATTTTGGCAAATATAAGTTCAGTTATGGAATTGAATTGTTACTTCAGGCATTTCTATGCCTTGTTCTCTCTTCTGCTGAGGAAAAAGTTAGGGGAAAAAAAGACTTGGGAAAATTGAAACCTTGTTTGAAAGCAATATAACCGTTCTGTTCTCTTTATTCCTAATTGAAGAATCCTCAAGGTTCAAATGAGGTTGGCTCTAATTGGCATAACACTGTGCTGTTCACTTTGAATATGGTAATCCACAACTGTCATGTAATTATTTCAAGCATTTTGCTTAACATAAGCTTTGAAGTCCAATTGCGAGGTCTGATATCAAGAATGTATTAGTGGTAGAAATATGTATTTTTAATTTTTGTTAGTTGTTAGATAGTGATTAATACTCTTGTTCAAGGGTCGTTATGCTGGTAAACACATAGATCAAGTGATTCTTGGAGGCACTATGCTACTCTATAGTTTGAGGGCACACCTAAATCCTCTAATATTTCTAAGTACATTTGGGCTACTTTATTTTTGTAAAAAAGTCTGAATAAACTACTACCATGTTCATGGCTTATACTTTTTCTCAAAATAAGAGTTGCAATGTTACATAGACAGTAGCACCCCTCTCATTTCTGCTACAGAATAGCTGCTATTTGCAACCTCATTACAGTATTTTTCTGTAATGAATTTTGAGCATCTTTTGGATTTAATTTTAATACTTCAATTTTGTTTTTAACAGTTGAGAAATTTTGACATTTTGTAGCTTTATAGCTGCACAAACTTCCATGTTTGTGGAAGCGTGTGTTTTTCTCAACCTCTCTGTCGATTCTTTGTTTACTTTCCTTCTCAACTGTCCTGCACAGGGTACTGGACAATCACCTTCCAAATGGGTTTATTCCTAAACAAAAATGTCAACAGGACTGATTGTGGGTTTGGTTTGGTTTGGTTTGCCCTTTTTTTTTTTTTTAACAGATCTCATAGAGGAGTACAAATGTTAGATCTATAAATATTTATTTATACTTGTTTATTAAATTTTTCTTAGAATTCCAATGATTATCTTTTATGTCAAGCTTGGGAGATGCTTCTGTGGTTACACACTGTGCCTGTAAAATTAGCACATCGATGCTTTGTTTACAATATTGTAACTTTTACTGTTGACAATACCTGTTTATATGAATAACCTAAATGCGGAGGGGGAGAAGGCAACAGGAGATGTGTGAAATTTGTAAACTGTAACTTTTAGGTTTCATGAAACTGTCAAATACTTGAAACACAAAAACCTGATTTTCCTTATAACTGTGTCCTATATATATAACACCCTCACTACAATTGTTATGATGTCAGTTTATTCTATATTTCAAAGCTATTCTATATAGTCTCTGTTTCAGATGCTGTACTGCTGAACTTGCATCTGCCATGGAAATGCAAACTGCCAGATACCTGCCATTCCCTGGGTCACCAAGCTTCAAAAGTTATTGCAGTGCAGGGGGGAAGAGGGAGAGTTGAACAGACAACATGACTACATAAGCTTTTTTCAGGGGAAAAAAGAATTATATGGCTATTCGTTAGAGACACATTTCTCATTATGTGTTGTCCACTAGCCTTCTTTAAGTGTTAGCTATGCATTTATTCTTTCCAAAATATTTTTGGTCTTGTTTTCCTTGGAATAAAAATTATGCTGTTATTCTGGTCGTCAGCCAAGTATCCTTCCCCCTTCTTCCCTGCCCTCTCTTCATTCCCTCCCAGTAGCCTTTGAACTTGTCCAACTTGTTGATTTTGGCAAGAGAGGATCTCAAAGGTATTATGTTTCCTACAAGTGAAAATCAGTGGTGTGGTAGGAGAGAAGAGACTCAGCTTAGTGCTGCTGGGGGAAAGGCTCCACTGTGAGCTGAAATTGTCATTGATTCTGTTTGATCTGCCAGCTGGCAACCTGGCATGTGTGAAGCTTAAAACCAGGCATAGCAAATGCTGTCTCTTGTCCCTCCGGAGTGCAGGAGACTAGGAGACAAATGAACTTGTTATGAGGGAGATAAGACACAAAATCATTAAAATAAAATACCTGAAGAACAGGTTTTGTTAGCTCAGCTGCATAGAAACAACTTGTTTCTTAATGTAGAGAGGCATAGGTTACAAAACTGACTGTCTGTGCACTGAAATCTTAACTTTTTTTTGGAAAACTTTTGCAAATGTGTGTGAAACAGATCATGAAAGCTACATGCTGATAACTGTCCTGTGCTTTCACACTAAGTTCTAATAGTTGGTGGGAGTCCATATGTTTGTCTTCTTTCCAAAGCACTGAAGAGCACTGTTAGATTGTAAAACAGACCCTCATCTATTTTGCAGATTTTTCCATCAGGGCTGCAATGCCTAAAGGGAAAAGATCTGAGGTTTCTGCAGTCGTTGGGAACAGGCTATAGACTCTACTCAGTCTGCTCTTCAGGCATGTCAGTCAGGCTCATGGGAATGTTGTTAGTGGACAGGTTCTTCCCATGGTGAATAAATGTCAGCTGTCTGAGTAGAGGCAGCCATTCTAATTAGTCTCTCTTTATGCAACAGAGGTTTTGAAGCTCAGCCAGGGAGAATAAGGTAATATTCAGAGACAGCAGCCCGCATCTGCTTTCTTGTCATTTGAAGAAGACAGCTGAATCAGCTCAAGAATCTGTTCCCTGAAAATTTCCTTGCATCTGAAGTGGTTTCTCCACTAATGATGTCCCTTTGTGCATATACAAGGTCAATATGCAAGCTCTAAGGTTGATAGAACTCCAGGAGTTCCACATCATGGACATGGCTCACTTGCACTTGCTCCTTTAGGTACCCTTTTAATCACCTGTCATAGATTTGTTTTTTTCTTGAAAATATACAGCAAAATACTGGACTCTTTCTCTGAAGATTACTCAGAGTATGCAAATACTGGGTTTATGGATTAGATTGTGTACTTCTCCCCCTGCCCTTGATTTCATGGGTTTTTGCAGAACATTGGGAAAACCAGCAACACTAAACACATGCTCACAAAACCCAGAGATGGTGATCCTATTAAGGAGCCCCCCCTCTGGCTTCCTTCAGCTTGCTTCAGAAATTTCTAGAGACCCTTTTTGTTGAAGTTAACTTCAGTAAAAAATGGCAGAATAAGATCTCAATTGTTCTTAATCAAACTGACTACATACGTTATTTCTGTTAGCCACTGCTTAGTTATTCTGTGATTATTTGAAAGAAATTAACCTGTGGTAACATCCTGTTTTCTTTCTTAGCTTGATCATCTGTTTGGAAGGAGTTGTTTGTTTTGCTTAAACAAACAGAAAAACCCCTTTTCTGTCTAGATAACATTAAATTTGTTTCTTTTTTTGTTTAAAACAGAAAGCTCATGCCTACAGCATTCCAACCATTAGCCTGCTGAATTTTCACTATTCTTTCTTCACCTGTGCTACAGGGCATTATGCTGACCATGACAGTTGCAGACCTTAAATTCCTCTGATAGGTAATATCTGGCTTTCTGGTTGCATTTTAGATTTTACTTCTGTTATTTGAAACAGTTGGACTAATTTCTCATTTGTGGGTCTCATTCAGTGAAGTTAATAGGAGTCTTGTGCATGTAAGAGTTATGTAGGTCTGCTACTTTTTATTCTGACATTTTTTAAATATTTCAGGGGTTTTTTTGTTGATTAATGTGTATATTCACTATTTGCTAGTTTTTAAACTAATTTTAATTAAATTGTTCATAAAAAATAGTATAAAAGTTGTAGATGAGAAGATATGGGATACCAAGACAACATTTATATAACACCAATTTCTGTGTTCGTACACTCTTCTATTGAAGACAACAGTGATAGCTTACTGTCTGTGAAAAAATTAATCCTTTGCAGTCCAGATCAGAAACTGAAGTTAATGAACTAAAAGATAAAAATAAGTGTTGGATTGTCTAATATCCAAAAGCTATATTTTTGTCTGTAACTATCAAACATAATTCCCACTGAGTTCAATGTTCTGCCTAGATGGGTGTTCAGGGATGGAAGTTACATCATAAAACTCAGTATGTTACTGTGCATTCTTGCTAACTGGAAGTGCAATATGGTTTGGGTATGTGACAAAAGTGAGATTTAGTGCAGAAGTGCAGAAGACCAGACAGCTACTGTTAGGTAACATGATGAGTTCTACTATAGTGAATTTAATAATTAGGATGCATCCTGAAGCAGTATTACACAATACCAACCTCTGATAAACAGTCTAGGTGAAGAAGTAAGATACAGTGACCGGTTTCACTTAAGTGCGTTGGGGAATGATCATTTCTTCTTCACAGTGGTAAATCTTACCTATATTAGCAAGTGTTTATTTGAAAAAGCTGAATAATTATGTTGCTAGTATTTTGAATGCCCTGAGGTTCTTAAGTAGATCTTTTGAAAAACAACCCCCCCCAAAACTCAACTTTCCCAAAATATTTGCAGAATATAGTGAAAGATGTATTGTTATATAGTGAAAATATACAGTGAAGAACCAGATCTCTTGAATAGTTCAGAACTGAACTGTTGCATCCCTTGCTTTCTTAAACACACAATTCTAGTATTTTCTGCTGCATTTGTGCTATGAAATAATGATTTAAACTGGTGAATTTTCAACGTTCCTCTCAGTTATAAATATTGAGTAATGTACCAATGTAAAGGATATTCAGCATGTTTTCAGTATACTCCCTAAGGAATATTAACCCATCATAGCAAGGGTTACAACTGTGTAGCTTTGTGAAAGTCAATTGAACAAATAATTTCTGCATGTCTTTGCTGAATAAATTGACTAGAAAAGTTATGTGACTTACTAATGCCTGATTTTTGGCTTGGTATAGTTGCAGAAATACAAATGAAGACAGAGTATGAGCCTGATGAGTAAACTAAATAAAATTCTATTATTCCACTCTGCTGCAAAAATTGAAGAAGAAACTGTAATTTTAAATACCAAAACCACTAATATTGTGTAAGTGGTTACTCTGTTATTGAATATTCATGAAGCTCTGTACTACAATGTTCAGTTAGGGTATTGGTTGTAATAAAACAAGCTATGTGATTGAAGTTTGCTTTTTGCTTCAACTTAGTTCAAAAGTGTGCTTAATGTGCATTTAGAATTGAAGTGGGTTTTTTTCATGTGTGTGATAGAACAGTGTGGTACCATTCACTTAGGCTGTCAAATGATTTGTTATGGAAAGTATTGTAGTTGCCCATTTGTTTATCTTCTAGATTCTGTTGTTTCTTAAGAAAATCATTTCTGACTTAACTGGATAATGACAATTTTGGAAAAAAAAAAAAAAAAAGCTGGCTCTGACTTTAAATTTAAATATTTTCATTAACAAAAACACAAAAATGGCATGTTCAGTTAGTAACTTTATCCTCTTCGCTCTGTAAAAATATTTTTTTTTTTCTCCAAGAGGGTTAAAAACAAAACATTTGGAGGGAACACTTAGAAATGAATTTGTGGGTTGCCATTAAGCGCCATGGAAATTAAAATAAACATTGTTCTAACTAAGAAACATTAACAACAAAAAAGTTTGTGTTGGAAAAAAATCTTTACATGCCTTAGAAACACGCTCAACACAGTTTGACATCATCTTATTTACACAGATCAAAGTAACATTGGTATTAATTTATCTTTAGATAGATTTAAATTTTTTTTTTCATAGATACATTATCTATCTTGTTTGTTAAGCTAGTTTGGCAAGTGTTACTTGTTCATAGTCAGTTGTTACGTATTATAAGTAAGAAATAAAGGAAGGATGTGAAAAAAATTAATGGAACATACATTAAGTGTTTATAGAAAACCTAGTAACTCTAGTTCTAGCTTTCTCATTTCTTTAAATTTGTGAGGGAAAACTACTGGGAAGATCAATTCCTAATGACTGCAGCCTTGGATTTGGATAGAAGAGAAGACTAATAAAGAGAAGATTTTAATTCTTAAGAAATTAATTTCTCAGCCAATAAAATTAAAAATTAAAAGGGTAGAACCTATCTCTCTTTAGCCCACTATTCCTTCCCTTGTCCTGAGCAATCTATTTGGAAGGTAATCTGAAGTAAATCACTTCAGAAATTTCTATATAACATAAAAAAGGTTAATTTTAGCCTAATGAAGTTTGTCTCCCTGGGCTTCTCTTAGAGTCAGCTGAGAAGAGAGAGGTTCCTCCAGAGTGCAACTCAGAGAGCCTAAATTAAGTTCCTCATTTTAGGGCAGGAACTTAAGTTGACTTAAAAACAAACAAAAAACCAAACCAAACCAACAAACAGAAAACTTAGGGAGACAAATGGCCTTAGGCTAAAGTGAATCTCCCTGAAAGGTCCCCTTTATACATATTCTCATGCCTCTCAGTCTGTTGAAGGCATGTGGTATTAAAATAGCTCTTTTATTGAAGATGATGTACAGAATGGAATAAGTCTATGCTTCTTTTCTTCTCTTGCTCCTTCCCCCGCAGAGAACATCAAATTTGGTGTTACTGGATTTGGTAGAAACATTTGAAAGAAATCTTAGATCAGTATTTTGCAACTGTATCCAGCCATATCCAAACTGGTGAATCTTTGAATGAAAACAGCATTTTCAATTGACAAGTAAAAGCAAATATCTGTGTTTTCTGTAAGGAAAAAAAAAAAAACAACCCTAAACACTTCCTTAGCTTATCAAGTTTTGCTTTCTTTATATCAACCCTAATAACTATAATAGGACTAATGTAAAGCTAGTGTTCACTACAGTTTAACTGAATTAATAAAGAGATACAAGTAAACTGGAGAAAGTCTCATAATCGTTACCAAAACACAATTTCTAAGGCAAAACTGCAAACATGAGAGCTTAATGGGGAAGAGGGATACTGAGACGAGAATTTGACTTTCGTATGTTGGAAAAACTGTTTCTTTTTAAAAGTTCTCTAATGCTTTTTTTATGTGCGAAAGCAAAAAAAAGTTACAAACCCCTCTTCTTTTTCCTTGAAGAAATTGTCATTGTAGTGATAGAACAAACAGATTATATTTTGCTCCTACTTTGTAGCAAATGTGTGTGGATATATTTTGTTTATCTAAAGTTCTCAATCCCAATGACTTCTAATTGGAAGAAAATATACCTTTTTATATGCTTGATACTAAAGCGTTATGTTTGTATCACAGAAGCTTTGAACTTGGAGTACATATGTGATAAAGATGATGACTAACATTTCATAACAGTTACTCCCTGGGCCAAAGAAAAGAACTGGAATAAAATCTTTTAAATAAGAAAAGGCATACCTGTAAAACTGACTATGAAAGCAATCACACAAGGTAGACTGAAATTACGTATGTTTCCCTTACAATAAATCTGTTGCTTTAATGATGTATAAAAAAATATTTTGTAGTGTAATTAAATGGAATTGTTCTTAAGACAATTTCTCTTTATAGCCAAGAAGAGGAAATATGGTAAAACTCTATTGGAAGCAAATATTTTTTTAATGTATTAGTGACATAAAGCTATTCTCTGTCCTCAGACGTTAACTTGTAATTTCTGTTTTGAGAATGCATGTGCAAAAAAGGTAAACAAACCCAGTCTTAGCTCATTTATCAGTATTATGTTAGGAGTGCTACAGTTTTGTGGGACAGATTGTAGCTGCTGAGAAATTTATACTTTGAGTGCCACAAAGGTATAATTCAACCTGCGTTTGACCTACCTCAGTTGAAGAGGCAGTGAACTGGAAGAGCGTATTCCTGTCCAAACCAATTCTGCATGAATACTAACTGTTATTCCACTTTCTCGCTCCTCTTCCATGATAAATTTTAAAACCTTTATCACCAGGATTAAAAAGATTTGTTTGGTTACTTTCTCAAAATAAAGCTTTACTTAGTTTCATGAGCTGTTTCAGGTGTGGCTACCAGTATGCACTGTGCTATGTAGCTGAAGAAGATGGTCTGCAAGATAACAAGGGACATACTAGACAATAGAACCCAAGTATATGGTAAAAGCATGGAAAATTACATAATTTTCTAGAAAACATGATGTTTCATGTAAAATTATTAGGTTGAAAAGGAGGCAGTATTGCAGCTCCTTACTAGTCTGTTATCAAGAGATGACATTTTCTCCAAAATGACATGGGTCATATCCTGAGTAGTCAAGCAAAGCTATTGTGATGTCAGTGGGTAAGAATTTTGGCTTTTTTATTTTAGAAATTATGAATTGCTTTAAGTTCCTTAACATACAGTTATTGTGTTTATATTGAGACATTCCCCATCCACCACCCCAAAAGACAGATGCTTGCTACTTTCTGAGTAACTGTCTTCTGGGTGAAGGTAATCATGTAATATGTATTCAGAGACTGTGAATGAAGCATAATATCTCTTCAAAAATGAGTCATTCCCTGCTTGGTATCATGTTCCTTTGCTTGTCTGTACTCCCAGGATTTGATGTTAGTAAGCTTTCCTTGCTTAGTCCTGTCCTGCAGGCCTTACAACAGGAGGATAAGATGTGGCCCCCTAAGGTTAAAGGCATAAT